GGAGGCAGCCCGGGGCCTCTCCAGCCGAACCGCCAACTGCCTTCCCGAAAACCGGTCTCGGGCAGACGGCGCCCCCGCCGGCGCCAGCTCCACGCTACCCTCCGCGCCCGCAGGCTCGCGCCCGAGGCCGCGCTCATTAGACGTCGGAGGGGCGAGGGGATGGCCGGGACCAGCGGACAGAGCTCGAGGCAGACTGCCAGGCCCTCCTTTCTGGCGGCTCTGCTGGGCTGCGGGCGCCGAGGAGGGGCCAGGGGCGCGTGGGCCCTTCGCCTCAGCCCCGGGAAAGCCGGGCCTGTAAACTTGGCATCCCCGGGAAGGGGCGGCGCCCCTGCCCTTCCAGGCTCTCTGGGTCTCCCCGCGATTCTGCGCAGCCCTCTGCGCTGCCCTCTCCCCGCCTCCCGGCGTGGGTTGGCTGCTTCGCTGCGGCCACCTTCCCCGAAGTCCTTGGCCACAGCTGGCGGGGACAGCTCTCTGGTCGCCTCTCCCCACTGCCATGCCCCCTCGGCTCATTCCTCTTAAGCCGGTACAATCCCTGTGTGGGCGAGGGGTTCGGACAGCCCTAGGGCAGAAAGTGCGGGAAATCCACCCTTCTCAGCAATTCCCCCTCCCGAGCCCGGCTCTGAGAAAACTGTTGGAAATACTTTAACCTTTCAGAGCCTCGTGTGCCCCTCCATAAAATGGGGATAGCATCGCATAGTCCATAGGATTCGGTGAACCATTTTGTGCAAAGCGCCAGGCCTTTCCAGTCCAGTCCCTGCACAATTGGAATTGCAGAACCCGGGTGGGCGCGGCCGGGTTCCTAGGAAGCAAATTTGCCCCTCCGGTTCTCGCGGTTGTTTACAGGAGGTGGATGGAGCCGGGCACCGGATGAGGCCGCACTTTTGCCAAAGTATTTCTGGAAAATTTCTCATTTCCCGTCGCTACACTGGCTCCTGAACTCTACAGCATTTAATTGCATACTCTTTTTTTTCCCCCTTTTGGAGTTGCCTTTTTACATTATTTACTGGAATGGTTATGTACGCAGTATTTACAATCTATTTGTTTACGTAACTATATCTTTTTCATTTTCTCCAATTACAGAAGTAGTCATGCCCATTATAAATATCCAATCCTGGAGAGTTTTATAATGCAGGATGTGATAACCCGCAGTGACTGCCTCTATTAACACCCAGGGTTCGCCGACTTTTTTCTGCAACCACTGGCGGAAATTCGTGAGCCCAAGCTGGCTGGGAGCTAGCAGGGCGGGCTCAGCGTGCTGGTTGCTGGGACAACGCCCTGCCACACGGGTGGGAGGCCAGCGATTAACTCGCTGGAGCAAGGGTCGGCCCCGCCCTGGGGGCGGAGTTAATAGGGGGAGCGGGCCCTGCGGGAGCGCTTTTCCCTCTAGGTGGCGCTATAGGATCGCGGATACGGTCCTGGGACGGCGCTCCCCTTGGCGGTGGGCAACATCGAGGGGCGGAGCCGGGGCGGGACGTGGACCCTCGGCTGCAGAGATGGAGGGAACCGAGCTGGCTGGGGCGGAACGTTAGACACTCTTGCGGACTTCTGTACAGGATGCAGAAAGTGTACGTGTCAGAGAAAGGGAGAAAGGGAGAGGTTCTGGGATGGAGAGAGAAGGGGAGTCGTGTCGCCCCGATAGTCACTCCATTCGCATTTGCCCCTAGGATCCTCCTCCGCCCGTCTCTCCCTCTGAACCTGCAATTCTTCACACCCTCAGGCGCACCGGGTGCTCTGGACACAAATGCACGGTGGACCTGGCCACTGGCTTCCTCGCCCCTAGCATCCGGGCCTAGCCATGGCGAGCTTGCAGGGCTCTAGTGCCCAGGGTAATTGCCAGCATAGGAATTCCGCGGTCCCGAGAATGCCAAGAAAAACAGGCGTGCTGTTCCTCAGTTTGTCTGGAGGAAGCCTTCCGCCCTTCCCTTCTGGAGGCTGATAATGGAAAAAGTGACTCAAAGAATCCCTAGCGTGGCCACCATGTCTGTACCATCTTCTGTTCTCCTTTTCCTCCCAAATACACATTCCTCCCACCATAACTCTTTCATCATGTCACACAATCATACCCAGCCCTCCCCACCACATATTGGGTCCGAGTATCAGTGTCATACCCCCTCACTATGTTAAATTGTTCCCTTTTCATTGACCCACCCCTCTCCCCAGTCACACAACCACAAGGATACATGGTGCTGGGCATTTTGAAGACAAGCCACGCAGAGTGCAGAAGCCCTTATCCAGAACACGCACACACACTCTTCCCAGGCCGAGAGAGAAGGAGACCACTGGCAGGAGATAAAAGCAGGTTTATTTGTGCTCTGGGGCCACAGATGCCTAAGGTCTGAGTAAAGGCAGCTCAGCTGGTTCTCACGGCAGAAAGGGCAGGCCAGGGCAGTGAGAAGGGGTGACTCAGTGCTGAAGCCAAATCTTTGCATCTCAGAGTCCTTGGCCAGAGACCTCTGGGAGTCAATTCTGGGAGGGCCCGGGGATATAGAGGGGTCTCCAGTGTCCCCTGGGGTCTTTGTGCTTTTGCCAGGATTTGGGGGGGAATGATCTAGGGGTAGGGAGCCTTGAATGCACAGCCTTCATTTCAGTAACGACCATTTAATTTGTTCCTTGGCAGACTGAAGAACCTGGGTGGGGCGGGGTGTGGAAGGTTGACAGAATTACTAGGGGAAATGTCAAGTATGTTAACAACTGCAGTGAGGGGGAGGTCTACAGCCACCTTCTCTAAGTGTCCCTGCAATCCCCGGTCACTAGGTGGCAGCAGCTCACCTCTGCCTGGTTTCAGTAGGGCCAGGCCATCAAGACTGAAAGAGCAGCTCAAACTGGCTGCAGCCAACCACCAGTCCAGGCCAAAACCTGCCCAGCCCTCCAGTTCCTGCATCTGCAGCCAGGGTGTGGCAGCAGCCCTGTCTCCCCCGCACCAGGCCATGCGAGCTCCCGCCCACAGTGCCACGTCCAGGCAGAGACGCCCTGGCCTGACACTTCCTGAGCCCAGACACCTCAGCAAACCCCTAGCTCTGGCCTGGGCTGGCAGTGTATCCTCAACACCCCACCCAATCTGCTGCTGATGTGGCACAGCTGGCAAAGGGTTCCTGGCCAGTCTGCCAGGGGACACCTGCACTCAAATGTGTTCACTCTCATCCTGATGAGGAAATGGCCTCAGTCCCATGTTTATACAAATCCATCACAACATGGTGGGGACCCCAGGTATGTCCCTCAGATGGCTCCTCCAGCCATCAAGGCTCTTTCCTTTCTGAAGAAGGCCCATCCCACACTGTGTGTCCCTTCCTCCTGCCCTCTCTTAGGGACAGCTTGGCCCTGGGATTCTCCTTCTCCCAGCTGGAATCTAACTTTCTCTTCTTTCCATCTCCCATTCACTACCTGCAACTTCCTTGGTTTTTACTCAAGAATTTCATTTAAAGTGCTATGTCTTCATTCTTTCTCCCTTTGGAAAATAGGATCTGTGCTAAGAGCTTTCCATGTATTAGCTCATCTAATTCTCATAATAACTCTGTGAGGAATGTCGTGTGATTATGTGAGGCCCAGAGAGGTCGAGGAACTTGCCCTCAGTGACCCAGCTTGTAGGTGATAAGGTCGAACATATATCCTGGGATGACTCACACCAGCAGCCCTGTTCTTACCTGCCCTGCTCTTTGCTCCTTAACCTCCTTGGCCTGAGAATTGCCACAGGGCTGCATTCACCTCAGTGGGGTAGGAGGAGGCACGAGGAACCGGGAAGGGGAGAGGCAGAGTAAGCACAAAGGGCAGTCACCGGACAGTGGGCACCACTCCTGGGGCTCCACATGGGACGGCAAAGGCCCATCTCGGCCTGGGCCACCACAGCAGGAGGAAGTTAGTGCCAGGGCAGGAAGCTCCATAAAAGCAGGGTTAGTCTGGGCAGAGAGACCTGCGGGCAGACAGAATGGAGGCCAAGCCTGACAAGCAGGAAGTCTGCACACTGGGAAACCAGTCAGGCCACAGATCTGGAAACCTCCCCCCTGCCCCACATGCACCCCTCAGACAGGACCACGGCGGGGACTGGCAGGGGTAGACTTTTCCACAGTCAGGTCACTCGGGACAAGGTGGCAAGTGGTGAGGATTAGACCCTGTCATGGGTCTAAGGGTCTCTTAACAATCTCAGTGTTGACCTTAAACAGCTAGGGGTGAGGGTTTGGAGGAAAACTCTCTTTGGTATCTTCTCTGGTCTGGGGGAAGCATCAGAGGCCTGAGCTCCCAGACTGCCTTGAGGAACAAGTGACCCAGCTCTCTCCGGGGTGGGCTCATCCTGGGTTTCAATCCAACTACATCAAGCCAGAGATGAGGTGAGCTGCCAGGAAGTCATCCATCATTTATTAATACCCAGCTCCACATCACCTCGGGGACCCTAGAAGCCTCCAATGACTGTCTCTAAGAGGTGACCTGTCACTGCCTCATCCCTTCCCTCCTGCACCCCTGATTTCTCAGCTTTGACAGCCCCCTGGGTCCCCTCTGGGATGCTCTGCTCTCCTCTCTCTAACCCATTTCTGACCAAGGCAGACAGAGGGGACCTACCTGGGCCACGCTGTGTTCAGTCAAGCCGCTGTCATCTGCCTGCAGGGAAGCAGAGTCAAAGGTGGTCAAGCCAGGGCAAGGGTATTGGATGAAGAAAGAGAGGTGAAGGTAAGAGGCTTGGGGGGGGCAGCGGTGAGGGGACGCAGTGATTAGGGGATCACGAACTGGATGTGTATCACACTTAGTGGAAGTCCTAGGGCCTGTCATTTAGAAGCCAGGACCCCCAAGACCGTCTATGGTGTAAGGTAGGCAAGAGATTGATGGGGGAATAAAGATGAGAGGAAAGGTTTCATCCAAACATGAGAAGCCAAACTAGGCAGGGAGATTCCATCTACACCCCAACTCCAGCTCCAAGCCCAAGGCAGCCACCTGGTGTCTCTCTGAGGACTGATTTATTTCCCCAGTCGGTGCTTTCCACCAGGGAGGATGGTGAGGTGTTTGTCTCTCTCTACAGGGGGAGAGGACAGAGATCTCTTTTACTAACCAATAACCCCCAGACTGCCACTCCCCCTACAAATGCATCTGCTTACTGGTTTCTTCTGCTGGAGGAGCTTGTACTCCCACCATCCGGGTCCTGCAGCCCAGACACAGGGAAGACAGGAGGTGGGGAGGATGGGAAGGGCCGCCTGGGGGACGTGGGAGTGAGGGGGGATACAGGGTGACTCTTACCCTAAAATTCACTTTCTGGATCACTTGCTGGGGGTCACTCTCCAGAATCACACTACAAGATGAGAGAAACCAGGAGGAAAATTAACCACATGCTTCGCCCCTCTGCTTCCTTTCCTTGCTAAACCCTTCCCTCCCTTGCCATATCCTGCAACATCCTCACCCCAAGGTACCTTACTGCTGATATTGCTCAAGTTAGAACTCCCTCACCACGGAAAGCCTTCAGCCCAGATTCTTACACACTTGAGCAAACCCTTAGAGGTTAGGTGAGGGCAGTGCAGTCTAGAACGATCAGGTTGTCAAAAGCAGGGGTTCAAAAACTCAAGAGCTCTAGAAAGTTCACTTCATCTCTGTGTCTAGGGATGGATTCAGATGCAGTGAAGGGAGGGAGGCCCCTCTGAGGTCTCTATCTTGTTTCACTATTATTTTATACCATGGAACTCCCAAAATCAGAACCTAGCTTCCCTTTTGATAGACCCAAACATGGAGGCTTTTCTCAGCTAGTTGGCAACTCTCTCATGCCCTGGGGGTGCTCTGGGGCCATGTGTGGGTATGTGCAGGGGTGAGGGCTGGTCACTGTGGAGTAGGGCCCATGGGGACTGAGTGAGTCTCCTCCAGGGCAGAAGGAAGTGAACAAACACTTCTTGAGAGCCTCTTCCAGGCTCCTCACAGGGGCACTTGCAGCCCCAGGTCCCTCACCAGAGGTCCTTTACACAGACATCCCAGGCCAAGGCTCCAGTTCAGGTATATATATATATATATGTATATATATATATATATATGTGTGTGTGTGTGTGTGTATACATATACACATACACATTTTTATTGAAGTATAGCTCCTGATTTTCACTGGAGGGAAACTGTGAGTCCCTCAGCAGGCAGAGACTGGGCCTACTAGGGTTACAGACCAGAAGCTGATAAAGTTTACAACCTCTCTTGCAGGAAGGGCCCCTTTTAAGGCCTGCACCTCATTTTATATCTGTAATTGTGTGTATGTGAGTTTTACTTAAAGAGGTTCCACCAAACTGTATTCACAAATCGTATATTCCACAAGACCTGGTCTTATTCCCCTCACTGTTCGGTCCTAGCAGTTAGCACAAGGCCTTGCAGTAGCAGGGGGTCAACAGCTACAGAGCGAAGGAGGGAGGATTCCACAGTACCCCAGCCCCAGAGCCCCTGCCCCCCGGCAGTGTGGTACAGGGCCACAGAAAGAGCAGTCTCTCAAAACACGTACATGGCTTTAGATCTAGGCCCTGCCACTCCCTCACCACGTAACCTTGGGCAAGTCACTTGAATCTCTGAGCCTGTATCCTCATCAATAAAATGGATATAATGATAAGAGGCATGTGGATGTCTTCAAGGTGAGCAGTTTCCATTATCCTTTGCCCCAGAGCCAGAACTTCTTTTTCTCCCTGAATATTGCCCCCCAAGGAAATTCACTAACCAACCCTTCTCATAAGAGCTCCCAGCTTCCTAAGGATATAATTGTATACCAACAGGAGGAAACGTTTATAGAAAGAGAACCATGAGCTTCACCTGCATCACCTCATTTAACCCCACACCCTTTGAGGTGGTTCCTTTATCATCACCATTTGAAAGATGGAGAAAATACGGAAAATAAGGAGCTGGGCTAGGTCATGCATCTAGCCAGTGTTGGAAAGGTCATCTAAGAGCGGGAGGTGTGGTGGTAGCAAGGCTCTGCCTGAGTGAAGTCTTTCCAGGGAGGGGCAAGTTTCTGTGCTGCCTGCTTTTCCTGGGCACTGGAGAGCAAACCGTTCCCCCCAGACCCTGCCTAGTCAACAGCCAGCCATAGTTTGACATCAGATTACTTTCTTGTGCTTGACTTTGGCTTACACTGAAGTCAGTCTCCAAACTCATGAGTGGCATGGGCGGATGGGGTCACCGGGAATATGCTGCAGGAAGGGAGGGAGAAGTTGGCCAGAGAGCCAACAATGTGCTGGGTGCAATCGAGAGCTGATGACCCCCAAAGGCACCTCCTGCTTTGAGTGTCCCTGACCAGCCCCTCTCTCCCCACTCCTCACCCGCCATCCACGATCTCATCCAGCACCAGGAAGGCTCCGTCCATGTTCTCCAGCAACCAGCGCTTCTCCACGTTCTTCCTGAAGGCAGACACAGCTTCAGAATCTCCCTGCAGCCAGGAGGAGCCGGGTCCCCGCCTAGGGGGGCAGACCCTCTCTCTCCAAAGATTGCCTCATTTCCCACCCTGCCACAACAAGCACAGGAAGGAGAATGTCAAGGGCAGTGAAGGCAGCACCTGTGCAAGGGATTCCAGCACAGAGGCTCTGCTTCTGTTAAGCTCCCCCTGTCCAACCTCCCACACTTTGGTCACTGACCCTATGCCCACCCTTAAGTATTTCATAGCAGTTCAGTTCAGCTCTACCATAGTTAATTGTGTCGACTGTGGACATTTATCGTTGGGTTATCCGAGTTCGGCATGCCCAGGCTAGATCACTGAATCGGGGTGGAGGGAAAACCACCCTCCTGAGTTTGAATCTCTGCTCTGACATAAATAGCTTGTAACCTCAGGCAAATCACTTAGCTTCTTTAGGTCTCATTTTCTGGCTATAGCCACGTGTGATCAGGTAAAAGGTAGGGGCCTTGCAGTAGGATGCTCTGGCTCCAGCCTTAGTCTTGTGGGGACCTCAGGAGAAAACCAGGTAGGAAGGGCCCTGCCTCTGTGATGTATCAAGGCCTAAGGGGATGGGGGCCTTGGAGGACAGAGGACATCACTTACATCACTCACCTTAACACATGGTTCAGGGACTCAAACAGGCAAGTGAGCACAGACATGAGCATCAGCTGGGGGTGGGCCGACACGGGAGGAGGAAAACAAGAGACTTGAGTTTGAGAAGGCCGAAAGGGAACCTCAGAGCCTATCTGTGTGGGCAGTGGTGGGCAGCTGTCCCTTTTCCCATAGGACAGGGCTGGAGCCTGAATGCAGCCTGACCTGAGAGGGCGCCTCCCCGTGTTTGGGTTGGGAAGCACTGGAGTGCCCACTGTGGGAAACTGAGTACATCCTTCTCCAGTGATGTTTAAGAAACAAAGTGAGATCCTAGGTTCAGTCCCCAGTACCTCCAATTAAAAAAAAAAAAAAAAAGAAAGAAAAATAAAAAGACAGAAACGAAGGTTCCCTACAGAGGACTTCATTTCTGGTACCCAAGGAATCTAAGGGGCATCATGGGTATGAATTGTTCCAAAAAGAACCATTCTGGCTGCTCCCAGTCCCCCAAAGCCTAGAAGGAGAGGTACCAACAGTGAGCCTTCAGAGCCCAGCTTCTACCCCAGACTCTAAGCCATTCCCCCACAGACAGACCCTCGTCACCCCAACCTCCTGAATTCACCTCATTCTCGGAGGATGAGCCCACCACATACAGGAAGAGGTCAATGCTGCTCTTGTAGACGATGGTCATGCCCCCCAAAAACGCAATCTCACCTGGAAGTGAAGGGAACTTTCAGTCTGGTCACCTCTGCCTGATCCCTTGTCCCCATCTCCAGCTCTGCACCTCTCCCTCTATTTCTTTCTTCCCTTTCCAAAGAAACTTTAGAAAGCCTAGAACCTTTGGAAAGATGAGCACTAGGGACACCACCATTAGGCTACTCTGTGTCCCTTCCCCCAAGACTCCACTCCTTTTCTAGCAACTGACTGCCTCATTCCGAGGAGTCAACAAACCCAGTTCAAGGTCAACCTTCCAGCCCCATATGCAATGCCTTGCACCAGCCCCAGGCTGGTGGGGGACCCACAACACAGCTGTCCTCTTCCACTGAGGGAGAGGTCCAGGTGTGCTGGAAGGTGGTGGGGGTTGGTTTGAGAAGAAGGGGAGTGAAGGCACACTGGAGGAAGGGAGAAAAGAACAGCTGGGAAGGAGAGAAAAAGCACCTCTGAAGAAGAAAGAATGCCCTATGGGTGTGTGAGGCCGATGGGGACAGATGTGTCCAGATGGAGAAGATGACGCTGTGCATCTGAGAGTTCTGGGCGAGGAAGAGGCGGACACTTACTGTCAGTCCGGCTGGTCTTGTTGAAGACATTTTTCTCGAAGGCCATCTGCTCCTTCATGGAGGGGAATGTGTCATCATAATACTATGAGAAAGGGAAGGAGAAAAGGTGACAGCTGTTCCACAGGGCCTGGATGGATGGCAGGAAGTGGTGGGTGCTAGCCAAGCGGGACTCTGTTGCCGTTCCCCGTCTCCTCTTTACTGCCCTCTTGGTCCATCTGCTCATTGTTTCCCCATAAATACAAATTCTGAGCAAAGAAAGTCATAGAAAGGAGAAGAATTCTGAGGCCTGCTTTTGGAGTTCTCTCCTGATTTCTTGGAGGCTCTGAACATTCAGCAGATGTGCAGTGAGCTAAAGACTGGCATGGTCACTTGGTCACAGTTTCTACACTAACCGGAGTTTGCAGGAAAGATGGCAGAGCCAGGGGCCCTTTAACACAGTAACAATCACAACAGCAACTTTATTATCCACATTATAGAGATGGGGAAACTCAGATGTGAAGAAGTCAGGTAGCTCCCCTGACATCTCACAGTTGTAAGGGGCAGAGCTGGGTTTCAACAGCAATGATGGTCTGACATCAGACAGGGTTATGGTGAAGATTAAATGTCTAAGGAAAAGTTCCCGGCACACACCGCCTAAGTTAATCAATGCCGTTTTGTTTGGGTTTGCTGACTCTCTGACTCAGCTTCTGCATCTGAACATAGATGTGAGCTGCTGGGAGGCCCTGGTATTGGTACTGCTGAGCTACCTCGGACCATCTGCTGGGGCAAGGGATGCTCAGCTCAGCTTTCAATCTCCTGCCTGTGGATTTTGCCACTTAGGACCCCATCCGCAAAATAGTAGTCCCTGCTGGCCACTGCTGTGGTGAACAAGCTCATTTGAATGCCATGAAGACAAAAAGTTTCAGCCTCAAACAAATGAAAAATCTTTAATGCATTTCATAACGAGTTTAGGTACTACAGCCCTACTCTAGTTAATTGTGTTGATGGTAAACATTTATTCTTGGATTATTCTAGTTTGGTTTATCCTGGCCATGTTCACTAGGATAGAAGCAAGATAACTGTGCAGTGAACTGCAGTGAAAAACCGCCCTACTGAGCCTCAAGTCAAAATACCTGAGTTTGGACCTCTGTTCTGATATTAGTATCTGTGACCACCTCAGGCAACTCACTGAGCTTCCCTACACCGCATTTTACTCATTTGTGAAATGAAAGTTGGATTATATAGTCTCTAAAATCCTGTCTGGTTCTAAAGGTTTAGTGGTTACCGAGCTGTAGAAGAAAAGCGGAGGTTGCCTGTTTAGAATTTGGGGACTAGAACTCCCGGGTCCCAGGCCAGCGGAAAGGATGGGGAGAAGACATGGTAGGGAACATGAGTAGAAAGAGACTAGACAGGCTTCCCCTTCAGGGGCCAGCAGTCTGACAAGGCAGGAGGATGGACAGGATGACCTTTGGAAGGGTCTCAGATGAGATGCTCTGAGTCACAAGAGTCCACAGTGGGGTCTCTGTGACAGGAGACAGAAGAGTCCCTTCTGTGCTTGGGGCTGTGGCACAGGGTCTTCAGGGGCCCTCCGGTGAGGGCGGGAGGTTACCTTGGCCAGCAGGCGGTGTCCGTCATTATCTAGGATGAAAACAGCCTTGATGGTGTAGAGGGAAGGTTCCTGCAACTGACATGGGGGAAGAGCTCCGTTGGCCCCTGACTCAAGGCAGACTCCCTGTCATTGGCTCTATGAGATCTGCTGGCACCAGGAGTCCATCCTCAGGCACCAGCAACCCCAGCCCCAAAGGTCCACAGCTGGTTCCGGCCCAACCCTGTGCCACGTGGGCCACTTGGGTGCCCTGCTCCTCTCCCAGGCAGATGTTCCACTGCAGGCCCGGATTGGGCGCTGTGCCCATGGGGTGCAGAAGGTCCTTCCGGGCCCAAGTTCTGTCATGCACTGACTGCTCCAGAGCCCGAGTCGGAGTGTATCACAGAACCTGGGCCGGGGGGGACAGCGGCGCCGAGCCTCCTCCTCCTCCAGCGGCCCTTGGCCGAAGCTGGACCCGCGCTCTCCGCGCGCCCCCAGCCCCCCGGCCCGGGTGGACTCCAGAAGCACGCCCGACAGCCCACGGCCCGGGACGGCCCCTCTGCTCCCGGGGGCCTCCGGGAGAAGCGCAATCCAGCTCGGCCGAGCCGTGCCCCAGCCCGCTCCGACTGCGGCAGAACTTCG